TTGCATCCTTCAGGCTCAATAACAGAGAGGAACATTTATCTCACTACAAGCACATAATTTAACAGTCAGTGTTCATGATTGTATTGTACACATTAATGCATTTTTTTTTTTTGGAAGCAACCAATGCTACTACCCAGATAGCTTATTTAAGCAAGTTATTGCCAAACCACATTCTGTATGTATTTCAGGAGCTTCTTTTGTATTCATTTGTATCCATTTAAAAATATATATTTTTCAGGATAATTTTGCGATGGCTCCTCCATACAGAGATAACAGAATAAGGGTACGTGATGTCATTTAGATACATTGAAACTTTTCGCGAATAACCTTGTGTGCGTAGATGGTGCTTATAAAAACAATAGAGGGAATGGGCAAGGTGCCAAAGATCATGGGTTTAATGCATGAAGTTTCAACAGAATATTTTAATTTTAATATTTTAATATAGTTATTGCTCTTAATTTAGTAGTACATATGGACAGATATAGTGTATATATGTGACAGCACCACTAATACTGAATGACATATGTAGATTTTAGCATCCCACCTTACATAATATTTAACATAATCTTTAGCATAATGTTTAACATTGCGTTTGATGATGCCCTTCAAATGCTAAACCAAATTCTGCACATATTACAAGATCAAGAGGCTTCAATAAAGAATCAAGGAGCTAAACTTTGTTTTGTTTTGCAGGATGATTTTGATGCGGAATCTTCATACACAGATAACAGTAGGAGGGTATGTGATATTGTTCAGATGGGGTGAAGGCTTTAGAAATAAGTTGTGATATTGGTGTTGGTCTGATAATCCTAGGCTGATAAATGACACAACGAAAAAGGTGCCGATGATCATTTTAGCATTACATAATGTTTAACATTGCATTTAGTGTATGAGGCTAAAATGCTCGAAGTTTAGAACTTTGATTATTAAAGCACTTTGTAGACTCAATCTGTGATTGCCAATTTTGTTTTGCAGGATGATTTTGAGATGGATCCTCGGTACAGAGCTTATGGAAGCAGGGTATGTGATCTTTGTTTAGAGAAGGTGAAGGTTTTGGGAATGACCGGTTTGGATAACGGTGATGGGTTGATAACAGTAATTGAATTCTTAAAGCAGATAATAGAGCTGATGAACAACTTCCCACTGATAAATGTGAAAAATCATAATGTTTTTAACAGGTTTGGATATCTGAGGCTGATTGGGTGCTGCAGAAAAACTATTGGTGCCATAGCAGGACAGAGCTATAATGTTCAATTTGTTTTAGATGCCTTGTCCTTAAGGCTTAATAAGATAGGGACCATCATTCAAGTTATAAGTGTGCTGTTTTAAAAGCCAGAATTTGCCCTTATAGAGTATAGAGTGTAGAGTATAATATAAACAGATTGTCGACCAAAAATGCTGCTTTTCATCTGATACCTTGTTGAGACAATGCCTAAACCACTTTCTGCACATATTTCAGGAGCTTTTTGCAATTTTCATTTTTTTTATCATTATTTTTTTTTTCCAGGATGATTTTGCGATGGCTCCTCCATACAACGATTACTCTAGAAGGGTATGTGATATAATTTAGATACAGTACAGAATTTTGGTGGGAGATTGATGTCATGTATGGTGGTGCTAGTTAGGTAATGGTGATGGTGTTCTTGAAAGCGTAACAGAGGTGATGGAAAAGTTGCCAGTGCTAAAACATCAAGTCACTATTAGCTGTGTCTGAGTGAAAGTACAGTAATAGTATAGAATAGTTTTGCAGGATGATTTTCCACTGGCTTCTACTTATAGAGACCACCCTATCTGATTTCAGTTAGCTAGGGAAGAAAATTGTTGGGATGTGTGATGATATTAATGCTGGGTATATGATTATGATGGGATTTCTATAGCAGATAATCGAGGTGATGGGTATGCTTTTTAAATGCATGTTATGTTAAGAAGTTGTATGTATGCTAAACCAGTGATGCGTCACGTTAAGCAGGACTGAGCTGAGTCTTAGGAAGCAGTGAGGATTTGCTTTCATTGCCCCACCTACCAATGCCTCTCGCGTCCCATCTTCTGTCTCTTTAATAAGTTATTGGAGCAGCACAAACCCATGTATTAAACTACTCGCAGGCCACCGAGGAACAACGCAATGACTGCAGAAGGTCAAAATCTAATAGATTCATCAAGTATAGGAGATTTGTTTTCATTTAAGAGGGGGATCGGATTTGGACTTTCTGTGCAAAAAAACACAGATTGGTTGGCCTGGGGTTTTTTTTTTTTTTTTTGAGAATCAGTCCTCAGGTCTGACTTTAGCATCAACACGACCTGCATTTCTGATTAAGTATATGACTCTATTGATTTATTTTATTTTATTTTTTTTAAGTACACCACAAACCCTAGTGAGGTTATTTGCAGCACCAGCAGAGTAAGCATTCCAGCTGGAGCCACAGCCCCGACTTAATATTTCCTAAAGCATCAAGCTTATTTTATGTCTAACAAGGATGATGAATATAAACATGAATTGCAGAGGTGTAGGAGAGTGATTCAGCGAGTAATGAGTGTGAAGACATGACTGCACTTTGAAGGCCAAACACTTTGATATTTGAGAACAGACGAGCCACTTGCCTCCACCCTTTCCTGGTATATTTTTGTCCTCGGCGTCCAAAGTAATGTGCAGTCACGTGACGTGAAGAGACTGAACTGCTGTCATTTTCGCTTACCGTCTTAAAAGATCGGCCTTTCTTTCCCGAGCTCTGCCCCGTAACCCTTTCACGTCGCTGGCTTCTTCGCAGCAGTGGAGAATTTGCAGACCAATGGTGACGATGTGGAGCTTGCAAAGGAGAGATGCTGTGACAAGGATGACAAACAGGATCTTTACCGATACTCGCAGCGTACCTGTGCCTGAGCTCGGGATTGTGAGGTTTACTCGGCTCGAATCCTCGAACAGATGCTTAAGTGCGCATGTTATTGAGGGGCGAGTGGCAATTTATAAGCAGTTTTACATTTCTACCTTCACCAGTAAAGTCCTCTCTTCTTTTTAAAACCCTGGAGTGCTTTATTCATTGTGACTATCCCTCCATATACAGCAGGGAATGCAGCTCCTTCTTAATACATTCCACTCTGTTAAACAAAAGGAATAGGCAATGTACTCTTGTAAGTTCCACAGTTTTCTCCCATAGCTGAATGACTTAATCATGAGAAACCATTGAGGTCCTCTTTTTTTTTTTTCTCCTTCTTTGTTAGCTTTAAAAGAATTCTCTGCATAAAACAGCTTGATTATTCTTTGTGTTAAATAAGGGAGCAATACGACAATGCTTGACATTACACTCTTAGAATGTGCTTCCTTTCACCCCAAGGAGAAGCCATGTTTAATCTTTTTGAACTCTAATTCAGAATTGCTCTGTATTCACATCTCCGCTGTCCCTGTTCCTCCTCTCACAAACCACAACCCAGATTCATATTTTCTATTCCGCTGTTGACGATGCAATAACCTTCTTTTTTGTGAATGTTTTTGTCTCCTCCTGTCAGTCATTTTTGAGTTCAGCTTCCATGCTCCTGTGCAGAAGATTTGAAACAGTCAAATGATATTGATCTGCTTCTCCAACAGCAGTTGTCAAGAAAGGACAGCCAGAACAGCTCCCAGCATAGTGTTTCCAGCCACCGGAGCGCGCACACAGACTCGCCTGTGCACTCTTCCCTGGCACCCGCTCTCAGTGAGAGCAACGCGCCCCCACCTCCCTCGCAGCCTTTGCCGGGACTCCCAATCCAGGACTCCCCAGGAGACGGGACCATCCAGAGAAAACCGGACCCCTTTAAGATTTGGGCCCAGTCCAGGAGCATGTATGAAAGTAGGCGTAAGTATATTCATTTCTGGTGGCGGTTGGATGAGGGCAGCATGGGGTATTGGCTCGGTGCAGACCCTTGGTGTCTTGGTGGTACTGCTCATTTTGGGGAACGTTTTGTGCTTGTAAGTAAGCTGGGTCAGATATTTATATTTATTTATTGATCTATGTTTTACTAAAGACTGGCTTGCGCTCAAATGCTCCACTACACATAGTGATTAACAACTATATTATACCGCCTGTGATAAAACATAAATATTGTAGGAGTCTGTCAAAGAAATTTGTTTGTTGTTATTATTTATTAAGCAAATGACAAATTGAATTCATATTTTTATACCCAAATTTGAGCTGGCACACTGGACTTCACAGAGAAGTCAGAAATTATACATACATTTTTTTTAAAGTCTGATGTTCTGATCAACCAGTAAAACTTTTCTGTTCAGGGGTGCAAATTAATGAGCATAATTGAGCTTTGCTATTTTTTCAGCTTTCTTTAATGTAAAATATTGACATTTGGCATTAACCTCCTAAGACCCGAACTCTTCCACAGCATGCATTTTTAACTTCTCTTTGATATTTGGGCTGATTGGGACATGATGAATGTAAAAACAAAGAATTACCAGATTAATTTTTTTTTACCTAATTTTTGTTTCTAAGAAAAATGAGATCCACATATGAGGATATTCGTTTAAAATTTCGATAGAACAGTAGCAGTATAATGTCCTCGTACGTGGATATCAGACCCTTGTAGAGCAAAATTGAGTATTTTGGTCTAAATAACCCAAAATGCGATGTCCACATATGTGGATGCCAGGTCCTAGGAGGTTAAATATATGGTTTAGAATCAGGGGTGTCAAACTCCACGCCTCGAGGGCCGGTGTCCTGCAGGTTTTAGATGTGTCCTTGATCCAACGCAGCTGATTTAAATGGCTAAATTACCTCCTCAACATGTCTTGAAGTTCTCCCGAGGCCCCACTGCTGGTTTAGATAAAAGAGCTTGTGCATGCTGGTGGATTTACCATTACAGAAAAATAAATAAATAAATATAAATAAAGATTTTGGAAGTTATCAGTACTGTTAATTTAGGGCATAAACCTTACATTGGGAGGACATTGTAGAATGTAAAATCAATTCACCTACATATTTTCATATGTACTCCGTCACTGCCTTGAAGGAAAACTGCTGATAGATGTCAGTGATGGTAGATGAGGAGCTTAGCTAATAAAGAAAGCCGTTTACATTTGTTTGTTTATAGGCTGTCTTGTAAAATTACTAGAATCTAGCTTTATGTCTACAGGTACATGTATTTTTTTTCTGGCATAGCCATGGCAAGCATCTTCTTGTTTTTTTTTCCCCAAGCCAAGCTAATTGGCTTTTCTTTCACATTTAGCACTCAGCTATCAAAGTGGTGTCAATCTCTGAAACTGAGACTCCACAAGAAACTGAATAGTAATAGTATTTCCCAAAAGAGCTAGCATGCTACTTTGTTACTAGCTGTAGACATGTAGGCCTCCAGTGTGTTGTTGATTGTGTCCTCTTAAAATTACTAGTTGCCGCTTTCACCCAGTGCCAGACAACAGCACCACTGACACACTTTTATTTTAGACTTCCCTTAAGAGGCACATGGTGTATAATTAGTACAAGAGTGGAGTAGATGTTGGCGGATTGTAAACCTCCCCACCCCCTGCCTTGGCAAAGCAAGGGGATTGCACTAATTAAAAAGAATAACCATCATAATCATTGTCAAGTTAAAAAAAAAAAGAGAGACATCTGCAAAGGGTTTTTATTCTTTCATTTATTTATTTTTTAAAGATCTAATCAGTTTTCCAGGCGCACTTGTTGAGGATTTTCATTATTTAGATGAAGAAGAATGAAAAATGAAGGGCTGAGCGTAGGCAGCGGTTCAGACACCTGTTGGAAAGCTGCCATGATTAGTTGAGTCAATAGTATTTGATTTTGTAATAAATAAATGAATAACAATAATAGAAATGGAGTGAAAGAATCCACAACCAAGGGCGGGAGGGATGTTGTCTACATACCCGCCCTCATATGATGACATCCCAATAGGGGATTTCTAAATTGCCCAGCCAGTTTGATCTGGTAAAATGTTAGAAAAGCAAAAACAAAGAATAATAATAGGAGAGTTGATCAAAACATTTGAAGGGGATGTAAAGAGAAATATAAGAGAAAGCTGAGCACTCTGAGGTATAGAGTCACAAGGCGAAATACCTTGAACAGCACGGGATGAACAGCAGGTGTAAAACCTCCACTTCCTCACGCTTCATTGAGCTCTCTCCATAAAACTCACTCCATAGTTCTCAGGCCTTGGATAGGGCAGAGACATTTTTCCATGCAGCATTCACTATAATGAAAAACTCTGCCGAGATCAAGGTCTTTAAACTTACCGTGCAGGGAGTGATTTCCATTTGCAGGAAGAAAACGTCCCAAAATCTCGCACAGCATTAGCCTGCTGTAAAAGCGGAGGAAGCTTGCTCGTGCTTTTGTTGGGCTTCATTACGATTATTTTGGGGTTTTAAAAAAAAAAAAAATTATCTCCTTTTTTGTAACATCATCACTCACAGCTTTGAATAGGGCCGTCTATCTTGGGAAAATATTGATCCGTTCATGCCCAGTTGCCTCACTGTGGGGATCACTTATGGGTCTATTAATGGGCAGGAGCAGCGTGTGCAGTTGACCTTCCTGAGTGCGGGTGCAGATTGCGACAGTTAGCCTTTGACTCTTTCCTCCTCTGGTTCCTCCACAGTAACCCTGTGATAGATTGGAAGAGATAGCTGCGCTCCGTGGGGATTTTAAGTGTTGACTGAAGGAGCAGATTGGAAGCAGACTGCTTATGCTTTCTGCCATCCCACCCTCTCTTAGTGGTTTTAGCGGCCTTGGCAGCAGCAGCTTCAGCTGGAGCAAAAAAGGAAATCTCCCTGAGAGATGTTTGTCTGCACACATAACACATCTGCGCCCATGGAAATGCATGCACACGTACTCATATGGGGATTCAAAGCCGCGTATTTAAAGCAAAGAAGCTCCTATGTACAATGGGATAAGGCCACACGCATGCAAATCATCTCCTCCTGTCCTCTGGGCTCTGAGCTCGCTTCAGTCTCCCCTGCTACATTAACCATGAGCTGTCACTCGCTGCGGTGCGATGCCTCTTTTTATATCGCGACACCTTTCGAGTTACTAGCGTACGCACACGGTTGCCTCGTGGCTACGAGTGTGCTGGGACTAGCCATACTCAGGGTGGGGGGTCAGGTGGAAGGTTCACTCCAGCATAGCCAAATGATGCATCGCGTGTCACACATCACCTCACAAGACAAACACTGTAGCCCATTTGAACATCTCTAAGGTTGTCTCAAAAAGCTGCAAGAAAGTGAAACTATACTCTGAAACGATCAGAAGGGAATTATAATCTGATCGTTTCTAATTATGGGAACGATGGACACCGATATCTTTTTTTCTCAGCCTGTCTTTTCAGTTTGTTTTAGCTCTAAAATTATACTCTTGGCCCAAAATAGATCCTTTTTATCTTTTGATGGCTCGTTTTTTTTTGTTTTGTTTTTTACCGTCTTTGTGCAGTGTGCTACCACAGTGACAAAGCTTTGAACACAAATGATGACAGTATTTACATGCTGACATAAACAAACATACCTGATTGTCTCAGAACAGCAGGTGTATTCATTATGCTCACACTGTGGTTGGCTTATTGTGTACCTGAGGGTATTAAATGAAATGTCTGAAGGCATCACGGTGCAGGAATAGAGATCCCACAAGGCCAACTGTGCTTGTGCATAAGTGTTTATGGCAGCTTGTTGATTTCACAGTTCCAGACTTCCAGGAGCAGGACATTTTCCTGTGGAGAAAGGACACGGGGTTCGGCTTCAGGATCCTCGGAGGCAACGAGCCAGGAGAGCCTGTGAGTCTCTCTCCCTCAATCTTTTTCAATCTCACGGCTGAAATCTCTCCAGTTTGCGTTTCAATTTCCTCACTTTTCACCGTACATCTCCAAAGAAATGGATAAAATGACAAGATTGTGTAGCTTGAATGATGAAAAGGATGCTATATTCCCAGCACTAGTGGGAGCAGCAGCTATAGGATTTTCTTTCAACAGTCTCAACACAACAGTTCTTATCTTCCCCTTGTGTGCGTGTCCATGCTTGTGTATTGGAATTCAGCAATTTCATATCTGTGATTGCTTCTCTCTGATCTGACCAATGTAGCCTTAACCAGCCAGGGAAAAAAAAAACCCTGCACACACACCATTTCTTTTTTTCTTTTCTTTTAAAGAGTCAAAGTTGTTTGTTCTTGTTTACACTAGCCTGCACTGCGTCCCCCCCCTGCTTTTCTTGAAGGGGGAAAAAAATAATGATTTACTTTAGAGCTTGGCTTGGGTTACTGCTGTTACAGGCTTGAGAGAATAGTAAAGATTTATTGCTGAAGTTTAAATTGTAGCTGTGCAGCATGCCAAGTTTATGGCCGCTGAGAAAATCGACACATTTTTATATGTCATGCACTTTAATGTCGTACTTTTTCTTTTTAGAATACCGCTTGATCGCTTTCCATGCATTTATTTTGCAAAGGTGCGGCGTAACGTATAGCTGCGCAGTCTTTGTCGACGCGTGGTTTCGAATGCACGGCAACCTCATTCGTCTGCTGCGTTTCAGATCTACATTGGCCACATAGTCAAGTACGGGGCTGCAGATGAAGATGGACGCCTGCGATCCGGTGATGAGCTGATATGCGTGGATGGAACGGCGGTGGTGGGAAAGTCGCACCAACTGGTGGTCCAGCTGATGCAGCAGGCTGCCAAGCAGGGCCATGTCAACCTCACAGTGCGGCGCAAAAGCACTTACGCTGGTGAGAAGCAAGCAGCTCGAGATGGAGGAGTAGTTTAAGCTTTTTAAAGACCTCCTAAGAGGTCCAAGAGAGGGTTTTTACTGAAGTCCAAGAATACACTCAGGTTGTTGTGGCTCAGGACGTAGAGTAGGTCATTTACTCCAGTCCACATAGCAAAGTGTGTAAGATACTGAAAGGAAAAGTGATTCTGATACATCATCCACCAATATGTGGTTCTGTGAAAATACACAGATGGATAGAAAATAGTACCGTAAGAATGTGGCAGTCCATTTATTATTGAATTCTACTGATTTTACTTCAAATAACAGTGACAAATAATACTGCAGAACCTTTAAAGTGTACTGCAAAAGACAAACGGGTATATCCGTCCACAGTGCAACCAATCAGAACATGTTTTATTGAGTCAGTTAATTTCATCCTATTATAAACAGTCAGGATCCAATTTCAAGTAGTTTCAAGTTAAGCTAGTAGCTTTGTTGACCAATAGTCCAAAAATGACCATCATTTGTTTCTCTATTTAGATTCCTTTATGCAGGATTCAGAATTAGCAGAACTGTAATTTTTTGTTTTGTTTTATAAATTGCAAAAAGTATAAATATCTCTAACTGATCAGTTTGTTTACATATAGTGTATTCACTGATAACATGTCAGTGAATTTTAATGTGTATTGAATCAGTTTTGAGAGCAGTCTGAGATGGCTTCATTTATATTCGGTTTTTGCAGCTTTGCTTACAGTAAAACATTGTTCAGTTTTAGAAATGCCCTCCCTGCTTTACCAACAGCCACATTTATGTCAGTCACGCTTCCATCAGGAGCCCAGAGGCCTTCTTAATATATATCTAAGGTCAACCTTTCACCTTTTTAGAATTTAGTGTGGGTGTGGATGTGGTCAGCCGCTACCACGAGCAAACACCCACGCCCCATCGCTGACTTCACTCCGGTCAACACAGCTCTGCTCCTTTAAAAAAAAAAAAAAAAAAAAAAGGCCCATAAATATGATGGAGAGGGTGGCCAACCTTCGGCCCAGTGACAGCAGCCAGACATTAGTGCATTGCTGCTCCCTGTCTGCCTCGGAGCGTCGAGAATATGAGGCGCCTTCCTTGAGCAGCTGTACAGGAAATGAAATGTGGAATGAAATGTCCAGATAGAGCAGGCAGACCACGTCCTCGGTTCATCTTTTGTTGGAAACAGATGAGAGCAGAGATTGTTGAAGAGGCCTTCTTCCAAAGCTGTCCTTTTTTTTAATCATAAGATAAACTAGGTGTGCTAGAGGAGCTAAATATCTGTTATTTGCCTCCTTTAATATTGTACTGCTCACGTAACGTTTAGGGATGTTGTCATATGTTTTTGCACAGCTTTGCTTTCATTACATTAGGTTCTCACTCTGTTTTGTACATGATTGTCTCCTGAATGTCTCACCTTTGGTTTCACCTCCCTTGTGATCTTTTACTGTTAATCTTCTATATCTGTGTTTTTCTTACCCTCCTGTTTGCACTTTGCACCTCATCTATGCATCTTTCTCACCATATCCTCCTCCTCCTGCCATTTTTAGTTAAAGCAGAGGGAGACATGCCTCCATCGCCGGCGTCTTCGCACCACAGCAGCACCCAGGCGCCCAGTCTCACAGAAGATATTGGGAAGCGCACCCCACAGGGCAGCCAGAACTCCCTCAACACAGTGAGCTCCGGCAGCGGCTCCACCTCTGGCATCGGCAGCGGTGGAGGAGGCGGAGTGGGTGGCGGGGGCGGCGGCAGCGCCGTGGTCGCCGCTGCGGCCGCCACCACCTCCTCTCAGCCGCCCATCGCCACCCCCGCTGTCGTCTCATCCGGTTTGCAGCCCTACGACGTAGAGATCCGCCGCGGCGAGAACGAAGGATTCGGTTTCGTCATCGTCTCGTCGGTGTCGAGGCCCGAAGCTGGCACCACCTTCGGTAAGCACTAGCACCCTCAAACACCACCACCAGCGCACCGTTGATGGCGGCTCATGCTGTTATTTCAAAAATCACTTCTACTCAGCAAAAACCCGAATCACACTTTGGCTTTTGCCTCATCACCGGGGCCTTTTATCTTCTCGTCTGCACTACGGGAATCCTTTGAATCCTCTATAAAAACCACTGAACGCTAAATAGCCTGACAGCCAGTGCACAGTCTGGCTATTTACAGTCCCACCAGATCAATATCAACACTCTTCAAAGAAGTGGTTCTTCTTTCTCATTTTCATCTGAGCCTGTCAAACCAAGACACTGAAACCCTTTCTTTGCCTGCAGCTGCTGCTCACACTCACATAAGGCTTTCATAATTGATCACAAGTGAAGTAGGTCTTACATAAAGCCACTTGTATTATTCAGCTGAACTTAAATGGCTTGTGCGGAGCAGGTTGGCACTAAAATCCTAATAGCAGTTTAATGAGAATGAGCACTGCAAGAAAGATAAATAGGGGAAATGATCAACGTGAATGGGTTCTATTTATTTTCCAGCATATGATTAGAGATATTCGCTTACTCAAACTTTATCTTCTTTTCTCTTCTTTTTTGTGAGGTTCTTTTTCATTGCTTAGCTGGTGAATGGTGTCGTTTTTCTCTGTTTGATATTGCACAGCAACGCAAGTAAATCAGATTCAGCGTTGCTTTTACAAACTCGTAGCACTGCATCTTTTCTACTCGTATTCCATGTACCGGTACGTTTTTTGCTCGCTGCTATGGCTTCCTACCTACACTAGAAGGACATTGCACCATGCTCTTCTCTCCCTGTGTGGGTGTACAGCACTGGAAAGGTCTGTGAACGCTTAGCTTTACAGATTGGCTTTTTTTTTTTCTTCTTTTTGTAAAGTGAAGCTCCTTTTCACAGGCCAAAGCAGAAAGCATAGGCTAGTAGATGAGCTTTCATTTCAGTTAACGTGTAAAGGAAGATTTATCTCTCTGCTGCTCTTGATATTTCACAGTCCTAGATGGTTAGGTTTATTCAGGGGGACAGAAACGGGTTGGGATCAGATGAGTTTGTTGTGTATTAAAAGTGTGAATGCAGCGGGAAGGATGGAAGAATAATAATGAAAAGTAAGGAGGGGAGAGGGTGGCGAGAGTAATGAGTGATTGGGGGCGTCAGTCTGTAGTGACTGATGTCGGCCTGCAGAGTGAAACAAACAGAGAGACTTCAGGGTAGCTGGTGAGATGTCAGCTCTGATGTATGTTTGCAGAGTCTAACTTTCTGCAGTTGCAGGTGTTTGGGATGTAGATGAAACAGAGCTCTAACTTAACAAGAGTTTTTTTTAGATGTTGAGAATCGTTTGGAAAAACTATTTAGAGAAAATAGTAAGACAAATCCTCCTATTTCTTTGCAGTGCACATTTAAATTGACCCTTCTTTTCCAGTGCTTGCATATTATCCTCTTCTTCTTCTCAGTGACTTTTGCTTGGCTGACTGTTGGCTGCGGGTCAATTAACCTTAACCCTTCTTGGTCCTCTTCTTCTGCTCCTTCCCCACTTTTCCCTCCCGTTTTCCTCCTCTCACCAAACACAATCCCCCAACATTTACACGCGCAAACACACACTCAATCACGCATGCATTACACATCCACATCGATGCTGACCATAGCTGGAAATGCTTGTGTGGCCATGCCCCACAAAATAGGACGCATCATTGAGGGAAGCCCAGCAGACCGCTGCGGGAAGTTGAAAGTCGGCGACCGCATCCTGGCTGTGAATGGCTGCTCGATCACCAACAAGTCCCACTCGGACATCGTCAACCTCATCAAGGAGGCTGGAAACACAGTTACACTACGCATCATTCCTGGAGATGGTGAGTAGAGAAAAGTGAATCCAAAACCAGGTCCGAATTTTTTCCTCATATCAGCTATTATTAGATTCCTGATTATGTTTGAGGAGACTTGTTCTCACTTTCCTGGGTTGTCGTTGTTGTTATTAAGTATTCCTTCGGCGTTATGTAAAGTGCACTTTCTTCAGTGGCTTTCAAAGTGACTATAACGCCTCCGCAGTGTTGACAGGAGTGATTCTTTGGGGATATTTGGGAGGTTGCTGGGTTTTTGTTTGTTTTTTTGGAATTTTTTAGCTTCCTGCCTTTGGCGTGCCCGCATTTTTAAAACATGCAAGAGCCGTTTAGATTTCGGTGTGTATGCGTGCGTGAGCGGAGAGAGGGCGAACGAGACAGGCACCGAGAGATGCTGAATTTCCTCTGTGCATGTGGGTGTGTCTCCTCTGTCAAGGTGGATTTAAGGAAAAGTTTGTGTGCATTGTATGTTGCGCTGTGCAGCTGAGAACTTTCTGTGCTTTGTGCTGACATATCACCCTAGCGTGCTTCACAAATGCTATTTAATTAAGCGTGCGTGTGTGTGTGCTCATGGAAAGGCAATACTCCCTGTCAACCTGCACACTGGTAGGAAAAGGAGCTATTTGTCCGCCGCTCGTTGCTTTCCGCCTCGCTTCTTATGGATGGAGAGGGTTTTTTGTTTCTCCCTTCAGAGCAGTTGATGAGAACAGTGAGCCAAAATTGCTCTGCCAAGAAGACACAGAGCAAGAGAGAAGGCGCTGGCGAGGAATAACTGGATATGCTTTATCGGAAAAGTTCTGGTTTGTGTTTATGTGCATGTGTCAAACAACCAGACGCCGTCTGACACAGAGGCAGAAAGAGCATCGGGCAGAGATGGTGGCTTGTGTTTCTAAACTTGTGCCTCTGAATGACTGTTCTGGCTGCCTCCGTTTACAAATGGCTGAGCATCGCCAATTTCTTTGTGGATCAGTCCAATCTTTAAGCTTTCTGATGGGAACAAGCGCCATAGCGAGAGCTTCCTCTAAAGGTGAAGTCTGATTCAGCTCAACCCCCTCACCGTGTGAGAGCACAGATGGAGTTTTGTAGTAGCTGATGCTCGGTACGCCTGCAGTGTCGAGGAAACGAGCATGGGAGTCTCCCTGCTGCTGCTCAGTAATACGTGTACAAGAAACTAATACCTTCATCAGAGCTGATGTCTCTGCAGCATAAATTTGGAGCACAGACAAAGCCCTCCTCATTCTTTCCACTGTGTGAGAAAAGAGAGCTAGACAAGCTGTATGTGATATGATTTTTATTGTTAGCACATGTTGTATTTTAAGTGTAATCTGTAGCTCTCGTATCCTTTTACCCTCTGTAGTGCTCGTTTTCTTTACCTCCCTTGAATTGATTGTACCTGCTGTCCTTCCCGGCTCACGCCATTCAGGGCTCGAGGGCAAATGCGTGGTCAAAGCCACAGACGAATTACAGAACGCTTCAGTTCCTTTTCTGTGCACGTTTTATTTACTTATTTAGTTAAGCGAGAAAGGGGAAAGCAGGCAGTAGGTCGCACGCAGAATAGAAGTAATATCCGGAGAGAAAGCAGTCGGAGGAGAGACGAATGAAGAGAGGCGACAAAAAAAGGAAGTGATTCATGCAAATCAGGCAGAGGGAAAGATAGTGATAGTGTTTTTACAGGAGTTAAACGTGAGACTGCAAAACTGAAAGGGTGGTCGAAGGTTTTCCTCGTGGTTCCCCTCTTTGCCGTCTCAAGTGAAGCTCACCTCTCCCGCTCGAGTGGTCGATACTGTAGATCTTGAGCAGCGGGCAAAGGAATGGTTGAGCCACCAGGCTCCAGTGGAGTACCGGAGGGAAAGGAGATTAATAGGTGAGAAGGGAAGTGACCATGAGAAGAATGGCGAGTAGCAGACTGGGGAAGGGGAGGTGCAGAGTTGTAATCGAATGTAGGATGCCGGTAGATGGCCAAGAAGGATGAGGTCGTTAGATAAAACAAAGGTTTCTTTATGCAGCAGGTGTCGCGTGATGACGGCCTGTCTGGTGTTTTTCACTGATAACTGAAAATGAGTGGATCAGTGCAGAGATAAAAGACAGAGTAAGCACGAGCTCTAATGCCACTGGCGTAGATGTTCCCTACTTGACAATTCAGAGGCAGAAAGGATTAGTTTCAGTCCTAAATGTGATGTACAGCCTTTGGACGTTTACCAAATGATTGATGGCACAAACCGCAGTATTACCCAAGTGTCCGGGAACATGGCTAAGTGGTGAAAGAAGCCTGGAAACTGGTTTCGAGCCTCGTAGTGGACCGTGTAGGTCGGGTTGACACAAGGAAAACAATGAAATGTCTCCACATGTGAAATTAAATTATATCGCCCAGGCTTTCAAGGAAACTGGAGAGGCTTCTGTTAGAGTATGTCTATACAAAATGACAGCATATTCAATTACAAGCCTTTTCCCCCCCGTCTCCTCATTGGTTGAAAAACACAATCATTCTCGTTCTTTGTTTTTGTTTTGTGTTATCTCATGTGACGATATACTTGCTCTTCTTCCGCCCTCCGCAGAGTCATCGAACGCATCTCTGTTGACGAATGCAGAGAAGATCGCCACTATAACCACTACTCACACCGCTCAGCAACAGGCCGCACCGGAGGCCAGGTGAGGAGCACGGCAGAAAACAGACTTGCCTAATAATGAAATGTCTTTTGGAGCGACCCCTTGCTTAGGCCTCATATGTCACGCCTTTTCTGTTTCAGGACCAACACTAAACCAAAACAGGAGTCATTTGCCCCGCAAGCCGCCCCTCCCCAGCCCCCCACGCAGCAACCCCCAAGCACTCAGGTGAGGAAGAGAGGCGCCGCAGTCTTAGCAGTTACATCAGTCATGCGGACACCCATCCATTTCATGTCTCCATCAAAACACGCCAGTCCTCTACACTCCATCAACTTTTCTACCCACATCTAATCTAAATTTGTCTCTTCATACATCCATTCAGCTGTTTCGCGAGATCTAAACAGTCATTCATCCCCTCCCCTGTCCCTCCATCTATCAACTAATATACCCACTTACCTTCCCAAGGACAAACCAAGTGCATTTTTATTTATTTATCTCTTTACGCCGACCTGCTGGCGTTATCTGAGTGTGCATATTAAGGAAAGCCTGTTTGCTTTCAAAGTAGCCCCTCAGTCCACTCTGTTCACCGCTGAATTAATCTGCTGGTGTGGAGATGGCTTTCACAGATAGCATTGATCCTCCAGCAGAGGAGATTAGGAGGGCGTAAAGACAGGAGCTGCCGAGGCTGTCTGCCCGTCCTTGTGTGGTTCCCAGACCTCCTCCTCTCTCTTCGTCTGCGCCCTCTCTACTTTTTCAGGCCAGGGCCCACGGCATCAATAATTCAGCGTCCTTACACCTGAGCATATGCATGTCCACACGCACGCACACACCCGCGCACACACGAAGGGGAAAAGCGTAGCACAACTGTTAAGGTGAGACTTGCCTGAAGGTGGCAATTGTCCCTTGCCTCTGAAATAGGATCCCCCTTCAAAGGAGACACGCACACACAAGCACGCACAAACGCAGACACACGCGCACACTTGAAACCTGAATCACAAAGGTGACTTTGATGCAAACATCTCCTTTCTCCTCTCACTCTCTCTCCCTCCACACATGGCGTCTGACTCCATCAGGATTCTGAGTTCTACTCCGTGGACCTGGAGCGAGACAACAAAGGCTTCGGCTTCAGCCTGCGAGGAGGCCGCGAGTACAATATGGACCTGTACGTGCTGAGGTTAGCCGAGGACGGAGCAGCTGTTCGCAACGGAAAGATGATGGTATGGACACACAAATGGGAAACGCAGAAGCTCAGAGGTTGTTTTCTCGGGGTCTTGAAAGGGTCACGCCACCAAACACTGAAGTTTAGTTTGACCATCATAAGAACTAGTGCTGGAAAAACAGCACTTACCCAAGTAACACTGCAATCTCGTCGTCTGTGCTCATATTTAGACCATACAAATTTATGACAGACAGCCTTTTTTGCAGCCACATAACATGGAGCTGTTTTACAGGAAATGTTGGACGGCCTATTGAAATATAACCACCTTTAATATTATACTTAATTATGGAAAACTGTGATGTAATTTTATCAATTTAAGGTTATATGCAGCTGTGTCAACAGGGATGCCAATATTCCCTCAGTAGCTAGAATACCTCCAAATAAGTTTTATTTTTTAACAGCCTGCTTTCTTTGGAAACAGCCAACAGATTGTCTGGAAATAACGGCGGACAGTTCCCTCGGTTGTTTTAGTAAATTTTCTGTAATATAGTCGTCTTGGCATTTGTCAGCATAGTTTGAAATCATCTGAAGAAAGCGTTCTAGTGGAATAATTGTAATGTTAATGAGAAATGTTCGGACTTCATTACTTTTGGTGGAGCTGTGCGAGACATTAGCTCTGCAATTTAGCTAAGAAAAATTACGTCTCTTTCCGGGTTTTTTTTCCTTAGTAATCCAGAGTGTTTTTAAAATGAATGTTTAATTTAACTATTTGTCAAATTTTCTCATTCCTTAATCCGTCAGCTTGCCTGAACGCTATAAAATTATCTTTTGTCGGGGGTGCACATAACAGCATATCTGAAAAACGACTGCTGATTGTAACCGTTGTTATAAATACCAATTATAATTTTATAAATCCTTGCCTTCAGGTGCAGCACCAGCCAGTTGACTTTATTGATTAGCTGGGGGTGGGAGGGGGGGGTTGATGGCAGCCTTGTAGACCTTACAGCCATCGCAATAATATTATTTATCAGTATAATTGCTTTTGCATAATGTACCCCCAATTACTGCAAGCCATGCTTCACTGACTCGCAAACAGTCACCTCCGGGCTCGGCCATGCAGACGGTTCACTGATTGTCATATGAAGACATGCAAACAGAATATGCACATTTTAATTTATGTTTCACGACAAGCTCGTAAAGTGGCATTCATACATGCCACAAAAGCTGTGATGAAACTGCAATATTTAACCTTTCCATCTGATTAATTGTACATAAATAATAGCACTTTCCCCGGAGTGCTTGATGAAGTGTGAGGTGTTTTTATTTATTCTCTCACTGTGCGTTTGCACGAAGGGAGCCTGTTGGCAGACACTGTTAGAATCTGAGATATAGTTTTTCATATATATTAATATGCTGCAGTTAGGGAGTGTGTGGGAGCGCGCGTGTGTGTGTGTGCGCACATTCGTTAGCACATTAGTATATGCATATATGGACCCGGCCGTTGGTGTTTGTGCACCTTGTTAGCAGAGATATTAATAGTCGCAGCTCTGTGAGGCAGGGAGAGGTGTCAGCGAGAGATCCGTATTCTGCCAGAGAAGTATTCCCTTAACGCAGTCAGCACTGACAGATAACCTGAGGAGTGGATTCAAAGAATCAGGAAGCAAAAATGTTTCTTCTAGTTCTCGTTTTTTCTCTGTCGTTCTCCCTCTCTGACTCTCAGTGTCACGCTTGCTGCTTTTTGATGCAGTTTGCCCTCCATATATACTTGTTTTCTTATTGTGCAGATTACCATTCAGCAGATTTGATAATTAACTCCTCCTCACCCCCTCCACCCTTCCCTTCGTGTCATTGTTTCCCTTTGAACCTTATCTTTCTCCTTGTGTACCTTCTTCCCTCCTCTCACTTGTTTTCTTTTGCACCGCGTGTGGCTCTGCGGTCTCCTCCCCTTATTTGGGCTCCTGCTGTCTCTCACCTTTCCCTCTGATTCACCTCTTCTCTTTTCCATTTTCATCTGTCACTCTTGTCCCCCTCCTGGTCTCCTTCCCACTAGGTCGGCGACGAAATCTTGGAGATCAACGGCGAGAGCACCAAGGGCATGAAGCACGCGCGAGCCATCGAGCTCATCAAGAATGGAGGCCGGCGAGTCCATCTGGTGCTCAAGAGGGGTGACGGCTCTGTGCCTGAATATGGTGGGTCAATCTACGAAAACATTCCCTTCTCGCCCATCTTCACACCCTGAGCCAGGGGACACTCAAGCGGATGGTGGTGGGTTGAAGGTGAAGGAACTAAATCGCTCCCCCTCCCCAAGGATCCTTCACCCCTCCCTGGAGCAAACCTACCAGGGATGGGAGAGGGGAGTCAGGGGGGTGGGGGGTGTTGCTTCGCGCTTTTGGTCTTTTTGTGGTGGCGGTCACTCCTGGGCTTTTTTGGGATTTCGTGGGAGAGCGAGGGGGTCGAGGCTGCTCCTGTGGGCGCTCTCACCCCCTCCTGCTGTCACCTGCTCTCAGTTTTGTCATGTCATCTCGCTGTCACTTTTCACCTTCTGGGCACTGAGCAAAAGCACTCTGCTGGGACTTAACAGGAAGGTGGTGGGTCTGATTTTCAGTGCTACATGGAAAAAAAAAAAAAGGAAACTGTTTACAGGGTTTGACCTGAGTAGTAAAGAAAAAGGAAAGAAAATCAATGTTTCTTGTGGGTGAGAAGTAATATGGATGTCTCTCATTTCTCATTACATGCTAATTTAGCATTAAAAGGAAGAGAAAACTTGATCCGTGGCATCCCGTGATAAAATGGGACCTTTCACAGCTTTGGATAGGATGTGACAAACATATTTATGATATTTATTGAAGGTGAATGTAAGCTACTGAACTCCTTTCTAAGTGAGAACTGTGTTGCGAAGAAAAAGACAGTCTAAGGCTATTTTCAGTAAATCTCACTATACTGTGCTTGACATTACTCACTCATCCATGGACTTTTTTTTTGCACCCACTGTCAGTGTTATGGAAAAGCTGTGAAGATAGGGACTCCACCCATCCCCGTTTAAAAAGACGTTGATTCGTTCCAGTTATATTAACTTTTTATAGTGATGATTTAAAAAAAAAAAAAAAAGAGTCATTTTTACAAGTATTTTTGTTCAGTGTACAGAGCCATGAATCAAAGCCACATATTAATGGATAAAAGTTTATTGCTGCATGAACATGTCAAAAGTGTAAATTGTTTTTGGTTTTCCCCCTTCTATTGTCTACTTTCCATAATATTTATGGAACATTTCTTTCTTTTCTGTTTTCCTTTTTTTTCTAATCGTATTGATTCGTTTTGATAGTCACGAGTCATTTTAAATGTTTTCTTTTTCATTTTGTTGCTTTTTTTTTGAGTGGATACATTTTGCCTGTTTTGAAAAGTTCATCAATGTAAAGTTTATTTGAGCTGAGAATGTGCTGTCAAAACCTGCACCGATGTGACATCATGTGAACTTGTATATTTTGGATCATTGTTTGTACTTTTTAAAAATCTTTATTTTTATTATTAGTATTTTTTTTAGTTGGCACAACCTTTGACAGTCTCGCCAGTATTTCTTTTGATTTCTATCAGCACTGTAAAACTGCTTAATTTGCTGGTGTGCGCGCGCGTGTGTGTGTGTGTGTGTGTGTGCGTGCGTGCGTGTGTGTGTGTGTCTGTGCACCAGTCTCACTGTTTCATTTTTTTGATTTTCTGCTGCTTCTTCATTAACGTGTCTAGGCGTGTGTGTGCGCTTGTTTGTGGGTGGGTGTGGCAACTCCTATGTCCGATGTGTGCACGCTTGTTTCCAGGGGACTTTACTCTGTAACTGATGGTCTTCACTGGGTTTGGGCAACTTCCTGGACTGTCTCTTTATTCTGAATGAGTCGATGATCAAATAAACACATTTTTTTTCATTAAGAATCAACACTGAATAATTCTCCTTTTCTTCCTTCTAGTTGGTTCCATATTTTTCTAAACTACTGTGCTCTTCTTTTTTTCTTTCCTTTCTGTTTCTGTGTATCTTCCCTTTCCTCTCGTATTGTGCTGGGCTCTTGTCTTCCTTCAGGGATGGTCGCTCCCCATCTCACTGCATGTATGAGAAATGACAAGATGGGGGAGGCCTCTGTCCTCCAAAATCAGACCACGGTTTGTAGCTGTCCTCCCCTCTCATCTCGGCTCTCTCTCCCACTTCCCGTCTTCCTCTCTCTCTTCTTCTATGTCCTGATGTGCGTGGTGTCGCTTCAGTTCAACCGTGCCTGTGCGCTGCTTCATGCATACAAATCCATTCACCCAACTACATCTCCAGTGTCACCGCTGCCATAGCCGTTCTTTTGGATACTTCATTCATGTCCTAGTTGCAGTCAACCTGTTGGAAACAAGTCAAAAGTGAAAATGCAGATTATTTTATCTTTGGGAATTAGTTTTGATACTTTCAGACCAGTGGTTCTCTTTGGGAGTCAACTCTTCTCCTCGAGTTGTCCATGATCCATTGTTGAAGGTCTCCAGAATCATTTGCAGTACGTTTTCAAACTAAGCTATAATGTTAAAAAGTGTATATCTACAGGTGGAGACTATTTACTCAATTGACAGGAGCCAGAGTTTTACTCCCACTCACTATATCTCAGGGCCGACGATGTGAAGTATTTAGAACAGTGAATGGTTCTTCTGCCATCTCAGCACTTGTAAAGTTTTGTCTTAAAAATGCCATATTGATCAAAGCATTGTTGTCGCAGCTTTTGTTGAAGATTTAGCAAGAGGAAGCGCTCCATACAGCTCTGTTTTTTCTTAGCAAAATGCTAAATTTCACCCGCCGCAACTGCAATGCACTTAGAGCAACTTCTAGTCTCTGGATCTCATCACGACCATTTAATTTATTCTAAAGATTTACAACGTGCCCTGACAGTACATGAAAGAGCATGGCTAATGAGTCAAATCTAGCAGCATCATCAGTATGAAGCAGCAGTTACACTGACTGTAACCAGCCTCCAGTCCAGCCACCAGAGAAGCCGGCGTTCTGCTTCACAGAGGTGACTTCCCCCTTTAGACCAAGGAACAGGTTTGTTGTGGGTTTCTTCAAGAAATGGCTGCTTCATAACTCTGTCACTGCCTTTTTTAAATCTGTGTAAGCTACACTGTTTTACCATTGGCTGCTGCTGTGCCATCCAACAACTTGCCATCTTTGCTGGTATTAACATCAGAATGGCTTCCATTGAAAGTGTTCTCGGCTTCATGTCTGAGTGACTCAGCATGATAAATGTGAAAGCAGATAGAAGCTTTTAGTGTGTCGATGCATGTTTGATCCCCCTGCCCTCGTTTGTATGTCCCAATGTGTTGCAGACGACAGCACCAACAACATCAGCGCAGCCAACCCAGCCTCAGGGGTACAAAACGCTGCGGAAGTGAACACTCTTCCCCCGAACGGTGCACCATCAGAGTCAAGCGACCCACCAGAACCCCAACAATCATCCCGCAGCAAGAAGGAGCCAGGCCGCCGCTCCCACGGCACTGGCAGGCACACACATTCCAACCACCGCCACCACTCCCCCAGCAAGAAAACCAGCACGGGAAAACACAAGGGCAAAAAGTCGACAGGGAAGAACACTCCCAAGAAGAAAGATGACAAGAAAAGTGATGGCCGCCATCGCCACCGCAGCCGCCATCGGTCACCTCATAAGGGGCACACCCGGTCGCGCAGTGCAGATAACGTCCTGGACGACCGACATGGGGGTCAGCGCCGAGGCCGTTCTCCAGACAGGCGCCACCGCCGCCACCGTTCACCCCACCGCTCACCCCGTCGCTCACCCTACCGCTCTCCTCGCCGTTCCCCTTATCGTTCCCCTCATCGTTCCCCTCATCGCCATCGGTCCCCCTACCGCACTCGGCAGCAGTCCCCCACCAGACGCCGGGCCCAATCCTCAGACCCCTACCGCCGGTATCGCTCCCCAGAGAGACAGACCCGCAGCACCGAGAAGCCTATTGCGGATGAGCCTGTATTAAAGGAGCCAATCAAAACTCCTGAATCCACCTTCCGTCTGGAAGACAGCATCTTGCGAGAGTCCCCAGCCCTAGACCGCTTAAACAGGGAGGTCACACCGCCACTGCGCAGGGAAGACCGCCTCTATGGAGAAGATAGCCTGCTGATGAAAGCCTCTACCTTGGACAGGTCCTACAGAGGGGGGGATAACCTGCTGAAGGACATGGCGTCTCGCAACCAGAGAGACATCACCCTGCCCAGATTACGCACTCCAGATTCAGATTCAGCTTACAAGAAGTACAGCACGCTGCTGAGGGGTCGTTCGACTGAGAGGTTTGACAGCACACAGCTGAGCGGTCGTTCGACAGAGAGGTTTGACAGCACACAGCTGAGGGGTCGTTCGACTGAGAGGTTTGACAGGGATGAGCGCTACCCCAGCCGAGACAGCACCCCTGAACCTTGGTACCGCTCCCGCAGTCTCGGACGAGACATATCCCCGATCAGGAGCTTCAGAAGGGACGACTCGGAGGATGAAGAGGACGATGACAATTTTGTGGCGGCTCAAGTGACGCAATACTACAGCACGGTCAAGAACAAGACCAACACCAGTCGCTCATCCAAGCCCACGCTCCCTGAGCCCAAGAAGACCTACAAGGAGAATCCCAAAGACCTGAGCATCTGATTGGACAGCTGTCAGCTGATCACAGCAACCATCCACAAAACACCTCAAATACTCACCATCACTACCACTTTGTTCTACAGAAACACACCCAACTTGTGTAGACATGCTGACACACACACACACACACACACACACACACACACACACACACTGTAACAACACTGAGTTACTAACAAGGTCGTAGTTTTGAAAGCTGTTTTTTTTTCCTCTTTTTGTTTTTTTTAAACTGTATATTTGATTTTCTTTGTTTTCTCATTTTGTTTTGGGGTTTGTTTGTTTTTTGTTTCTTTGTTTTGTTAAAGTATTCTACATTTACAGATACTCAGACTTTTCCAGAAAATATAAAACCATAAAAAACAATGATGTGCCTAACAACAGTTCCATTAACAAACAACATTTTTGTTTCGGGTTTGATATGTGGAGGGCAGTTTGTGTGCCCCACTGTCAGATGATGAAATATATGTACTTTTCCACAAAGATCCCTTGGAAGTACTGCGCACCTGGGTCACCATAACAGGTGCTCACAATGATGCTGTGCATGTCTTTACCGGTTTCAATGTCTCTCTCTCTCTCTCTCTCGCTCTGTCTCTCTGTCTCTCTCTCTCTCTTGCCTTCGTACTCTCTCTCCTTCCAGTGCCACTGTTTTTTAGACATTTGACCAGACTATAGCACAAGCCTGCATTTGTTTGTATATTTTTGACAGTTTGCAGTATGTGTACATTCAGAGGTGATCATTTTAAATGAAGGAAGGGAAAATGAAAAAGTTAAACTATGATGATGATGTTAAAATAAAATAATATATTCAACAAATGAACAGTTGTTTTATCTTTTTTCTCCTTAGTTATTGCCATTGGAGTCATTCTGGGATTGATTGACCTGCTTAAGTAACATGAAAAAAATGCAGATATTGGATGGGAAGAAAGATGTACACTAACAGCTTTTTTTTTTTTTTTGAGCTCTCATTTTGCCAGGCAGAAAACAAAACAGTGGGGAGACTAACATTGTTATCTCAGCCCTGCCAAAAGTGCATGCATATAGATAAAGCCTTTGAAGAAAAGTAAAGCAAAGAGCTTCTGTCCTTTCCCCAACATCAAAGCCCAAAAGGACGATCTTAAAATTGTTCCTTCACTCCTCTTCACAGCTTACTTTGATTTGTGCCTTTTCAGTGCCCTCTTTCTCCCATCGCCCTCTACGGTCCTTCCCCTTCCTCCTCCATCCACTCTTGTGGTTGCGAGATTTGTCATTTGATACAGAACAAACAGCGGGGATGCTGCGTGTCTATTTCAGGACGGTGACGGCAGAAGGAAGGTGGTGATGCTGGGACAAACAATGTGGAGATTAGATAAAAACCAAGTAGTCACCCTGGGTGAGCGGTAAATACCAATGCACAATATACTTCACCACGGCAATAAAAAACAAAAACAAAACCCTGAAAGATACACAAGTGCATTTTAACCTCTTTAACATTTCCTAACATTCAGCGATAAGAAATCGGGATGACCTCTCATATCTACCTTCTTCACACTCTAATTTAAGGCATGAGATGCTCATACAGTTTTGTCCCTACACATTAGGACAATGACACTCTTTTGTGTTGCACCACAGTGGATTTAATTTGAACATTTGAACCGACTTCAGCTTTAATTTACAAAAAGAAAAAAGGAATTTTCACCAACTTCTCAAAGGCCTCAAAGGTGATTATGGTAATAAACAGGAAATAAATCTATTTTTAATGATAAATCCTTCAAGTCTAAAACTCATAGATGTCACCAAATGTTTCCTCCCTCAGGCTGAAGGTGGCTGTAGTCAAGGCAGACTTGGCAGTTGAATAATATCCCGTTTCTTTGCCTTGAGAAAGTCTTGGATTGTTTTTGCAGTATGCTTTGGATTACTATCCATCTGCACTGTGAAGCAACGTCCGTTGTTCTTTTTCACAGCATTTGGATGAATCTGAGCAACTTCAGAATTCCTCCTGCTACTTGCTGCTGTCAACAGTCAGGAAAAAACACTAGTCACCCAGCTCCACTGGCAGGCACACATGCCCGCACAGCCTCCACCTTGTTTGACAGATAATGTGATATGTTTCAGATCATGATGTGTTTTTTTTCCTTCTCCATACTGTTTTCCTCCCACTATTTCCCATCATGTGGTTTCATCTGTCCAAAGCTTGTTTTTAGATGAAACTCTGTATTCCAATTTCCGAAGGCGTCTCTTTTACAGTGATATGCCTCTGAGTGTTCTAAAAGTTATGAATGATTTTCATTACAGAGGAAAGAATTTGCAGTCATCTGCTTCAGTTGTCTTCTGTGTCGTCCATTTTTGCGATATTAGGCTTTTTTTTTCTTTCTTTTTTTTATCAAATTTATCTTTATTCAGTCTCTTGCGTCAGCCTCACTTTGAATCTCGTTTTGAGAGTTACAAAATGTAAGACTTGGAATCAACTCTGAAATGAAATGGCAGCAGCAGGCCTCACCTGTCTATGAAACCCCTTGTCAGTCAATCGTCCCATCGCTTTAGAGCTCACTATTGAAATGGCTGTCGTTCCAGTTTGTTTGCAAGCCCCTTGAACTCAAGCTGAAAGCCTGCACTTCAGTCGCATTGATCGTTTGCTTTTAAGCCCACTTTGCTGTTGAAAAAAAACAGATGAGCCAGGAAAAAGAAATGTTATGGAGCTAACTGTATGTTTACACAAATATGGGGAGAATTTAAGATTTTCTGAGCTTGCATCATATGAAGTTTGTGCTTTTTCCTGCAGCACATGCCAAGGTACTTAATGCCATATGTTCAAAAATCTGCATTCAAGATTACCCTGTGGACACAATCTGTGCAGCTCATAAGAGGAAATGTGAAACAGAGTTAAAGCATCGTGATCAAATGGTAACATATCAGAGCTTTTTTCTGGCCCAGTTTCTGTGCAATTCAAGGGAGCCTCAATGCATTCCACTCCTTTTGATGCAATGATCTGAAACTGTTTTTGCATAGCTACATTTATGGGATGTGCACTAGTGTGGAAGCATTACATGGAAATTCTTCGGCTCACTTTTTAGTAAGTGCAAAAATCCAAGTTGCAAATATCCATTTGAGTATATTTAATGCAGGCTATACGATTTGCATTGTTTTCATTGGATGCTGACATTTTTCCCTATTAGAGAAGCATGTGTTATTTAGTATTTCTACAGAATACAGAGGGCTGGAGTTTGTATCCTGCAAACACATTTCTCTTCCCTGTCCCCTCACAGAAGAGGAAACCATTCCTAAATAATGGATGTAATCCACTTTCCAGCACCGAAAATCTCTTCTCCCTTCTCTTTAAATATCTCTGCCCCCTCTTTATCAAGACCTATTCAACTCTCCATCATCTGACGCAGGAGCAGAGCCCCTGGTTTTATTTCTTGTGTTATCCCAGAAATGATTAACAACACGTGTCTTGGGACAATTTATCATGTCAGTGTCAGGCAGTAGGAAGCAGCAGTAATAAAATGTCCAATAACAACATGAGTGTTCACTGACAGCCTCTTTTCTCCCATCAGCTAAGCTTCAGGTGCTCTTGCTCTGACCTTAGAGATCCTCTACTGCCCTGTTGCCATGGCAACACTAATGCAACGGGCTCTTCCCTTAAGCTGACAGCAGACAAGAATTGTAGACGTGCACATACGAAGGCTGGGGGGAGAAGAGAAAACAACAGCACTGGGTTATTTTTGGCTGTGTGCTCAGGATCAAGATGATTTCACTTAGAAGAAAGAAAAAGTTTCACAATTGTATTTATTTATCTTTTTCAAAGAGTTAAAGCTATCTATTCAAAAGCAAAGTGTGAGGAGCCTGGTCCCAGCTGTAATCAGTCAGTTAAAAAATAAATCCACAAGCATTGTGTCAAATAATCAGCAGCGTAGAGCTAGTTAATACATAATTGGTGTTTTCTTTCCTTTTCCTGAACAGTCCTGTTTCCTTGTGTGAGATTATTATACTATCTTATGCCACCTTATACTTCTAATCAAAGAATTGTTGAATCATTATACGGCTACAGGCCACATTATGCCTTGGATTAAAGATTGTGAAATCATTACACTGTTTTATGATGCATTATACTGCTGATTTATAAGAAATACTGTTTTCAGAGAATCATGGCCTTATTTGTCTGATTAGAAAGAACAGAACATACTGCACAGGAAGCCGAGGTCATAACTTAGGCTCACTGAGAGAGAAAGAATGTGGATGTTTAGGTTTTATGACTTTGGAGGGGGCTGAAAAGCTATAAGAATGTGAGAAACGTTTAGACACTTCGAGATCTGACGGACACCCTCCTGTCCACATCTCCCGTCTGGACGTTTGTAATGCTTAAAGTGTTGTATGGAATAAAGAGATTGTTGACTGAGCATTTATACACCGAGTGTGTCTCTCAGGTCCTGTGTCAGGTCTTTGCTGTTTTTTCCTATTCGAATTCTTAAAGGCATGACTTTCAGTATGTTTCGATCCGATCAGCTGTTCATAACACTTCCCACATTGAAATAGATGTCAGCATGAACGATCGCATGTTCGCCATTACCTGCCCGAAACCGGAAGTGACGTCATTTTCGCGGAAAATGTAGTTTTTTACTTGTAGCCCTTAAAAGCCTATACTGGTGTTTTTATAAGTCATTTTTAACTTTATGCTTTTCTGAATAGTTTCTGTGATGCTTAGAACTCAAATTGCACTGCTTAAAATAGTTTATTTTGATGCACATGCTGTTTTCTTTGCAAATTTGCGTCATAAGATTCTTTTTCGTTTTTTCTGCAGTATATAAAAATTTGTGTATCTCAAAAATAAAACTATGAAGCCACTCCAAATAAATTTCCTGTTGTTGTAAACTATTTTTTGCAACTTTTTTTGTATTTAAAGTTTTGAGGGATAAACCTCTTAAATTTCTCCAAGTAGAAATATATGTAAAAAAATCAAAAATGATTAGTCTATTGCAGTTTATGTCGTTACTATGGACTTAATGCATACATATTATTAAAATGTGGGCTATAATAGTTGTATTGATGTACAGCAACTTGTAATGCTCCCTAAAATGGCACTACAGCATGTAAAAATATAAAGTAAGCTCTGGCGGCCTTGGTTCTATGGTAGGTCTTAAAGGGTTAATGAACAACAAAAAGGAAATTACATCTGAAAAATAGCCGAAGACTGGACTGAAAATGAGTGTAAAAGCAACCAATGTCCAAAGAAAAACTTTGAAAGACGATTTGAAAGCCTGGAGAA